TTTTACTCAGTAAATTTCAGGAGTTCCCTAGTGACTATATGAGCATTAAATATTCATGTTTATCATTCTAAAATTTCACTTTTTTATGCTTTATAGTTACATAATTAGTACAGTAGTATGTGTAAATATACATATGTTGGAAGTATATATTCAAGAATGTTTTACTGATAAGGGTGTCTGGTCACAAAGTTTTGGAGACCAGTGCCTTAAAAAATCTTTCATTTCTTAAACCTGAGCCACATTTTCTTGCCATCCTTCTTCATCTCTTCACCTTTGCAGGAAAGTCACCAAATATCATAGTTTACATTGACTTGATTTGGAAGATCTTGTCAAGTTCTTTGTAGAATTTTTCTTTGTTCCTTAGCTGCAGTTGTTGGTATATAAGTTTCAGTTATCTTCATGGTGATCTTTGACTAATGTTTGAGTGTCTTGTCACCTACAGATTATTTGGTGATACAAATTCCTTTTGATTTATCACTACCATGAGCTGGTTGGTTGTTGTCCTTCATTCTTGAAGAGGATCAAAATGACATCGTTATATTAGGGTCAAGTTACAGTGTGTCTGACTGGGTGATCAGACCAATACGAGCTCAGAATGCTCCACCACAGGTCAGGCACGTGAACATTTGGGGTGGAGTCTCCAAATTTGCCCAGCTCACGCTTCTTTTGAGCAACTTCACTTTTCTGCTTTGCTCATAGAGCACAGCACCACAAGCACTGCATGATGAAATGACGGAGGGTTCTGTAAAATGATATCACTGCTTTTAGGCACACGTTGGTATCAACTCTGCCTTATGGCTTCCTGAGGTTTCTGTGGAAGAGTCTGAAAACCACTCATTTAAACTGTGAATACTTTGTGCAGTGTAATGGAAACCTCAGGGTTCTTGGTCAGGAGCTATGGGTTTGAGTCCCAACTTCAATGCACTTAACTAGTGTGTAATCTTGGTCAAATCATTTCATGTCCTTCTGAGTCTGTTTGTTTATTTGTGAAATGGGGATAATACTTATACTGCCTGCTTCAGAGTGTTGTGAGACAAACATTTTGTAAATTTTAAAATATTAGCTAAATGTATCACCATTATTACTAGTAATCGTAGAACATTTTCTAATTAAAACCCAGTGGCAACTTTTTAATTTACTTTTTAACCCTGCCTATTATGTTAAGCGTTTATAAAAATGACCTATTGTTCTAGGAAATTTAAACTCAGCAGTGACAATTATGACACGTTCTGGTGAATGGAGAAGATGAAAGATTATGTTTCTTTGGTTGATCTGTATCGCAACTACAAACTATAGTTCTACCCCCAAATAACAGAAGTCTTGTTGTGTTGTCACATGATCTCAGCCTAAGTTGTTTTTGGTTTGTTGAGGAAGTATAGTATAGTACAATAGCATAAGCTTTCCTACCTTCATCTTTCCCTCCCCTTAACATATGACTTCCTACTGTCAGCTTGGAAGGATTGGCCAGGCTGAAGTCCTTCTACAAATAGACAGCTATTTTATCGTTAGCTATATAATTAGCCACCTAAGCAAATAGACTTCAAGGTCTTTGTAAGAATTTTAAAGAAACTGAGCAAGTTTTATAGAACATAGAAATAAGAATGCTTAGTTTAAATTACTCCTTTAAGGGTTACTATTTCATAGGCCAACCTTTTATAAAGGGAAGAGTAGACTTAATAGAATTGGGTTTAGGTTGATTTCCCCTTTGTAAAATGTTTTAGTATCTTGATATGTAAAGATTATTTTGTGACATGCATTTCTTTGGTACATTTTCATTTTAGTGAATAAAACCCATACTCCAAAATTTGAAAATTTATCTGTGGTTTTAAAAGTAACCTTTGCTTGATGGGGGCATGAGGGTAGGGTTGAATGAGAAGAGTGTTGAGTATTTGAGTTGGTAATGATAGATCTATGATTTCATCATTGTGGGGGAATTTCTGGAGTGGAAACATCTCTTCATCAATGCAGATCAGCCAGCTTATCAGCAATTTCTTGTCATAGAAAATTGCCTGAGGGCACTAAGTGATTTTCCCAAGGTCATTCAACCAGTACATGTCAGATAATTGAAATAATTGAATAAAAATAGATTAATTTTTTTGTTTATGTTACGAGAAATTTTATGTCAATTGCCTGTGGTTGAAAAACAGGGGATTTTGTGAAATGAAAAAAAAGTAGACTACTAGAATAATTTTTTTTGTTTAGCTGAATTAACAAAATTTTATTTAAATTCTTCAAATGTTTGACTCCTGATACATATTTTTTTTTTGTCCAGGCATTTTACTGAAGTGTAAAATATTAAGTTAATATTTGTATGTTGCTGTTATACAATGGACATTTTGGAGATCAATAAACCTGAGACAGTGTTAGAAGATTCTCAGTCTTTTTTTGAAAATAACCTGTTTTTCAAGTCCCATTGTATTAAGTTCACCGGAGACAGCAGGATGTTTGGTAGTTAGTAAAATGGTTACATGAGTTAAACACAGAGGGTAAGTAGCATCATAAACATATCAGAGGAGCCAGGAAATTATTACTTGTTAGATCTATGAATGGGGAAAAGTTCACAACCAAACGAGATAGAGAAGAACACAGAAAGTAAAGGGGACAGTGTTGATTACATAAAATTAAAAATTTTTACACAAACAAAACTAATGCAGCTAAAAGTAGAAGAGAAGCAGGTAAAAGGGGGGAAAATCTCTGCAGTAAGTTTCCCTAATAAAGGACTCATTTCTAAGATATATAGGGAATGGAGTCAAATTTACAAGAATGAGCTGTTCCTTACTTGATAAATGGTCAAAGAATATGAACAGGCAAATTTCAGAGGAAGAAATCCAAGCTATCAATAGCCATATGAAATAATGCACCGAATCACTAATAATTAAAGAAATGCAAATTAAAACAACTTTGAAGTTCCACTCACATCTATCAGATTGGCAAAGTTGGCAGAAAAAGGAAAAGGACAAATGCTAGGGGAGTTGTGGGAAAGCAAATATATTAATGCACTATTAGTAGAGCTGTGAACTTATCCAGCTATTCTAAAAAGTAGGTTCCAAAGTAGATTGAGCCAAGATAGTATAATAAATGTGAAAATTTGAAAATACACATAGTGTTGAATAATATTTGTTAAAAATTGTGTTAGAGGGGCAGCTAGATGGCGCAGTGGATAGAGCATTGGCCCTGAAGTCAAGGACCTGAGTTCAAATCTGGCCTCAGACCAAACACTTGACACTTACTAGCTATGTGACCGTGGGCAAGTCACTTAACCCCAATTGCCTTAAAAAACAAACAAACAAAAAAAATGTGTTAGAAATAGCAGGTAGAGTGAGTAGGAAAAGGATTCCTGGATTTTTGTTGCAGACTAAAACACGTGAGATTTTAATTTAGAAGGAAAATCAGAGGATTTTTTTTCCCATCACTTTTCATTCCATTTAGTTGGAATACAGCAAATGAAAACATATTTGACATTATATTTCCTTTAGCATATGACATTGTCCAATAACATGCTGAAAACTGAGTTAGGAAAGCCTTTTGGGGAGACATTTTCCTGAACAAATGATTATTTCCCAATTCAAGAGAGGAATTTGTGGCTCCATACATTTGAAAGATAACTTCTAACATACAGCTAAATATTTTTTTGGGGGGGGTCAGGCAATTGGGGTTAAGTAACTTGCCCAAGGTCACACAGCTAGTGTCAAGTGTCTGAGGCCAGTTTTGAACTCAGGTACTTCTGACTCCAATGCTGGAGCTCTATCTACTCCTACCTAGCTTCCCCCCCTCTTTTATTTTTTGTACAGCTAAATCTTTTAGCACTCTAAAGAGACATTAGTTTTATATTTTTTGCCTTGTAAACCATAAAACCATCCTCATATTTATATTTATTTAATGTTTGTTGGCTTTGAGCTAATATTATCATCATTTTGATATATTCTTGAATGGAATGGTGGGAAACCTTTTGTACCTTTACTTATTTTGTCCTTTTAAAAATTTAAGGAAATTTTGAAAGTTAGTATAAATTTAATTTTTTGAATAAAAAATTACTTTGGGGAATATAAGGAAATATTGAGATCGTAGCTGTATATTTGAAAATTAACTAATAATACAAAGCAATACATGTGTACCACATGACTTTTGTAGACAGCTGACTCATTCAAAAGAGTAAAACACTACTTCCAGCTATTAGTTATTGACATAAGAAGTGAAATTTAATTGGGCTTTAAAGGAAGAATTTTTATAAATCAAAACATGTCATTTGATAATTTTTCTTTTCTCTTCATATTTCTGTTCTTTCTTGACTTTTGCAGAAAAGCAGTACAAATGTACAGTTTGAAATTTGCCTATCAGTTATATAGCAAAATAACTACTCCCTACTTTAGTAAAGTTGTTTATAGTAATATTTTAAAAAAAACTGGTGACTTTCATTATCAAATCGAATATGTATTTCTAATAGGCATAGTTGGAAACTTTTGGGGTGAAAGAGGTAAAGTTGTTGGTAAAGGCTGTGTCATTCCTTCTTAATTGCCCTTAGAATTTAATATCCTTTCAGAATTTGTATATATATTTAAAATGGCTTCCAGTAGAATTAAACTACGATATATTTTGTCCCTAGAAACAGTCATTTAATATGTATTACACATTAGTTCGAAAAATCTTTAAATTCAAGTCTTCAGGGTTTAAAAATGAAACAGTGCCTTGCCATATCAGGTCTGTTCAAAATTCTGGGACATAAATTTACATGAAATGAGGGGATAGCTACGTTAAGATTAAAATAGTTAATTTTATATATGGCTGTGTTTTTGGTAAAAGACCCTTCCTTATGTATATTCTGGGCTTTAAAAAATGTTATGTTAGTTTTCTATTTTGTAGGGAAAACTTTTCTAATCTGTTTTATACCCAAATAAAGTGATATGCCATAATTTAATCTACGGTATATCATATGCATACTACTTAAAGATTTTTAGCATAAAGTCTTCAAATGAAAGCTTTGAAACTTTTTATTCTTACAGTAATGGAGTGGGGTGAAGATATTAAAGCAATTTCAGAAGATGAAGCTCTGATGTTGGTGAACCATCAAGCAACAGGAGATGTGTGCACGTTAATGATGTGCCTACAGGACAAAGGAATGGTAGGTTATCTCTAGGTTACAAAAGTCTAGTTAGAAAATATAAACACAACTTAATTTGCTACATTATAAATGATGAGAGTCTGTTCCCTTTTTTTGTTTATAAAAAGGGTCAGATAGGAATTACTGTATTATGTGACTAGAATTTTCAGTAGTTGCTAAGAATTTAAACATTGCTCTTTTCTCAGATTTAAAAAGTCCCCAGGTTGGTCAAAGGATGTTGAGTTTAAGGGTGAATTGAACAACTGAGAGAGAAAAACTTGTGAAGTAAATGATGATATCATTTAAGAAAATGGATTAGTATTAGACATTGAATTCTTAAGAGACTATCTAATCATATAAAAATAGAACTATTTTAAGGAGATGTTAAATACATCCATCTCTTTCACTGTTGCTAGTGCTACAGCTGTTTTATTGCTTTTACTTAATGTACTTTGATAAATCTATCCAATTTGTATGCTTATTTCAGTGAAGAGAAATTCAGTCCATATAATCAAAGGACTCATTGTTTAATGAAGGGAAAGTTAAAGTAGTTATGTGTATGAATATACCAAATAGGAGAAACCAACTATATAAACAATAATGAAGTGAATATTTGGCCTAATAAAAAGAATATCAGTCAGTAAAGAGACATAGAAGGAACTACTGAATACGAATCACTGTGCTAGGTGCTGTCAGGAAGACAAAGACATAGTTTCTTCCCTCAAAGAACAAGACATAAACATGAAAAACTAAATGCCATCATAAGTTGAGTAACATGACCACCATAGATGAGGTGGCACAAGTCATTACAATATAAATGATGATGGCTCATAAAGACGAGAGCTGTACATTCAGACAGGAATGAAATTATTGTCAGCTAGATTGGCTTGAGAAAGCTTCAAAGAAGAGGACTTTGAGTGAGGGTAGAATTTGGTTAAGTGGAATGGAACTGGAATTACGTTGAGAGTGAAGCGTAAAAGCCAAAAAGCGTGAATATGGCGTGTTCCAACAGGAGCAAGCAGACCAAACAACAAGGGTTACATGTTGACAAGGAATAGCAAATGAAATGGGAGAAGTTAGGGGATAAGATTACAGAGGCCCTTGAATGCAAGGCTGGAGATGTTGAACTTTTTTGTTGAAGAAGTAGAAAACTGTTGAAGATTTTTGAACAAGGAAATAACATGTTCAGAACTCCTTTTTGAGATCGATCTGATGATTGTGTGTCACGTAAATGGGGGTAGTAAAGATATATACTGGAGAGAGGGAGCTCAGTTAGAAGGATAAAGCAGTAGGTAAGGTGTAAGGACCTAAACCAGAATGGTAGCAGTGGAAATGAGAGGAAGCAAAAGATGTGAGAGACATCATGATGAGTCAGCAGGACAAATTTGCTGTAAGTGATCAAGGGAGAGAAAGAACACTAAAATCAAAGATTTAGACCTGGGAGGAACAATAGTGTTATCTAGTCCAACCCCTTCATACTACAGAAGATTCCAAGCTTTCAATCTAGAATTACTAGCAGAGGAAGTAGTAAGAGAGTAGTACTGTTGATAGAAATTCAAAATTAGGAAGAGCTTATGATGAATTAGAAGTCATGATTGTACACTTTGAAGTCATAATAAAGATAGCTGACATTTACATGGTATTTAAATTTTATATAGCTAATCTGATTTAGAATAAATCGGTATGTACTTATAGACAGTGAAATGAAATCAAAAGAGTACATTTAAAACTTTGAGTCTTGGAGTATGTACTTTTCCTCTATGCAAAGAATTCCTTATCTTTTTATTTAGCCCTAGAGACCTTTCTCTTAAGCCTAAAACGTGTATTTTTCAGCTGTATATTAGATATCTCCAAATAGATGTCCTTCTAACACCTCAAACTCAACACAGCCCAAACTGGATTCATCTTCATCCAAAAACCTGACTTAGGTCTTTTAGTGGTACCATTTTTTTCAGACAACCAGGTTTAGAACCTCTGAATACCTTACTATCCTCTTCCAATTGTATTATTATTATGCCAGTTTTATTGATGAGGTAACAGATTTGTAGAGTTCTGTTAAGTAACTGACTCAAAGTCACTCTACAGGTAGTAGGATTGGGATCCTGGTCATCCTGACTCCAACCACTTTAACCACTTCACCACCTGTCACTTCTGGCAGGGAAGATGAGAGGTCAAGTCAATTCAGCCAGCATTTATTGAGTGCGTATTATGTGCCAGGCACTGTGCTAAGCTCTGGGGAAAGAAAGAAAAAAACAGTTTTTACTCTCAAGGAACCCAGAGTCTAACAGTCACATGCAACAAAGTAAATATAGGAAAAATTGCAGTTAATCAAAGAAGGTACTACCTAGCATTAAGGGGATCAAGAAAGGCTTCTTTCAGAAGGTGGGGTTTTATCTGAGATTTGAAGGAAGCCAGGAGATAGAGATAAGAAGGGATTCAGTTTACTCATCTATAAACTGAATACCTGAAGTACGAGGTGCCTTTCTCAAGATCATACAGATGGTCAGGCAGAACTTAGATTCCAATCCAAGTTGCAGCTGGTTGCTCAGTGGTTAGAGTACTGGGGCTGGAGTTAGGAAGACCTGAGTTCAAATACTGCCTCAGATACTTAGTAGTTTCATGACTCTGGGCAAGTCACTTCATCTGTTTGCCTCAGTTTACTCACCTGTAAAAATAGGTATAATAATATCACTTACCTATCAGGGTGGTTGTGAGAATCCAATTAGATAATATTTGTAAAGCCCTTAGCACAGTGCCTGATGCGCAGTAGGTACTATATAAATACCAACTCTTATTATTTAATCCAGGTTTTTTGTCCCCAAATCCAGCATTCTTACCATTGTGCTCTCCTACCTTCTAGCTACTAGTTTCTCCTTGTCAAATTTATTCCATAAACTGTTGGCCAATTAATCTTTTTAGAGTAGAACTCTGATAAATGTCACTGTTCATTGAAAAAACTTCGGATGACTCAGTATTGCTTACAGAGTCCAATTTCTTAGTTTCACATTTCCCCATCTGTAAATGAGGAGACATGCATGTATTACTACTTTACTCGGCTTTTGTGATGAAAATACTTTGTAAACCTTTAAGTATTATATGAATGTATTCTTAGCATTATTTTTTATTATCATTCAAGGGCCTCTGTAATCTTGCCCCAGCTTACTTCTCTCAACTTCCTTTCATGTACCTTATGTTCAGATTAAAATGGGCTATTTTACATCTTCCAAATATACCTCACCTTTTCTCATTTCTGTGCCTCTTCATGATGTATACTATTTCCTTTGTGTCTCCTTGTTGAAATCTTACATGTCTCCCTCTTCTCCACAAGTCATTTGAACTGTAACACAGTAATTTTGCGTTTGCTAATACCATTTTACCTTTTGTTATATGTAGTATAACTCTCTTATTAAATTATAAGCTTCATGAGGACAAGTGACTTATACATAACAGCTACTAAAATGTATATTGAATGTTTATTATATTTGCATTATAGAATAGATTCTGAAAAGAAATAGCTATTTAGAAACAGATTTGCTAAAATGTGAGAAATTGTCATGGAATGGATATACATTTGGAATTAAAATAATTGTTTCCTACCCACTTGATATATGGTATTGAGTTGTATTAAAAGCTGGTTTATTCAGCTTTTTATGAACTGGAAATCTCTGTTAACTAGAACTTTGGTACTTAGAAGTATAGTAATTTGACATTAATAATTATTTCCTGGAGACATTACAAGAAAGCTCTGAAAGTGTTTTCTGAAGCATCAAGAAATGATTGAATTATTTTAAATATTCCTTAATATTTAATTGCATTCTCATTCTTTTAAAGTGATTAATGTATATGGCATATATAGTAAGTACAAATTAGTAGATTGGTTTTACCAGAATGCTCAAACTCAGCCACTCTAGAGAAGATTAAATTTTCTATAGAAAGATTAATTTGTTCCAGATTCTTTTGTCCTGGAGCATTTTTCTTTTATGTTTCCATTAAGTTATATCCAATATTGTTATGTAAGTTCCCCTACAATCATTTAACTTGAAAACAGGAAGAATGGATTATCTTAATCTAAAAAGTGTGATCAATGAGTATTTGAGTGATGGCATTGCAATCTTCATCTCCAAGAATAAACATAAACATAAAAATAAACATCTACTTCAGGGCAAGTATTAATTTATATTGAGAAAGTAGTTGAGTCTGTTTTAAAAAATTTTCTCTACCAGTCTTCATGATCAGTAAATTGGGATTTTATTTATTTAAATAGATTTGTATGTAAAATTTGAAACCATGGAACTTTTGGGAACTTTGCTTGCAGTAACTTTTGGAGCCCATCTCTTTGGTAAATTAATACCTTTAATTTCGAAGGGAGAAAGATAGTAATTGAGTTCATCATTCACTCTGCTTTAGAGATTTTGTGTCTAATGACATTATTAGGTTTTTAATTAAGAAATTGAATTACAGTACAGTTACATAATTTTGAGCTCAACCATAAGACTTGATTGACAGCTTTATAATACTTTGATCCAAAAAGTAAAGGGAATTAGAGGACTTAGGCCAGAGCTTACTTTAAACAACTTTTTGATTATAAATGTGCTCCCCCCAAGTGGCAAGATGCCTTTGTTAATCATTTCATCTGGGGTTTTGCTGAATATGCTAGGCACTGTGGTAAGTGCTGGGGATCCAAAAAAAAAAAAGGCAAAAACACAAGTCTCTGTTCTCCAAGAGCTCTGAATCTAATGGGGGAGGCAATATGTAGATACCTTCCTACATAAAAAGAGGTTTTCCCACTATAAAGGGAAGTTAATCTTGGGAGGGGCAGAGGGGAGGTTCTCACTGGGTGAGGAGGAGGTGAAGGGCTTCTTGGAGAAGGTGATACTTGAGCTGAGCCTTAAAGGAGGCCAGTTCCTTTGTTTGCCTGGCCACTTATTACAAGTTCTTTACTCTTGGGAATCTACTTGTCTAAATCTGGGTTTATTGTTTGTTTAAATTATTAGTTAAAAGTATGGTGGTGATGATTAGAGATATTTTCTTATTGTGTAACATATTGCTTTTTGGAATGGGTTGGGAACAAAGGGTGAAGAAAAGGCTTTTAATTAACCTACACAGAAGCCCTCAGCATATTATATTGCTAATACTTTCCCCAAGAAAACTCAGGAACACCAGATAATATAACAGCAAATGAAACTCAGTGTCACAGTCCTAGAAATAATTGCATGTGGAAATGTAAATGGCACTGAGAAAACAAAGGTGGAATGATCAGCTGGACTAGAATGCATATACATGAAGCAGATCTGTGCTAGAGGTGAGACCATTTTGAGATCATTGAAAAATGGAAAACTCAAGGTGAGAAAAACAAACACAAGGGAATAAAATTGAAAACATCACCACCAACAAAGACAGTCGAGACAATATCAATAACGAACAAACCATATTCCTAATTTTTCATCTCTCCAAAGTTATTCTGAGAATAATCTACATATACATTGAGCACATGCTTGATAAAGGTATGAAAAGGGAACAGGCAATCTTTTGCCAATGATATGCTACAACAGACAATATCTTAATGTCAGCTAATTGTCCTGAAAATATATAGAATACAAGATCTTAGTGAGCTTATTTTTGGTTGAAGATGTCTCCTAAACATTTGTTAATATCAGGCAAGATTCCTTAGACTATGTTAACAATAAAAATAACTTTCTTCAGTCTTTTGATTACTAATATTGAGTGAGGCATAAAAAGAGGGAAGCGTTTGCTCATCAAAGGTGTTTGCAACTTTCCTAGAGGATGTTAAGTGTAGAATTTAAATTAAAGAGGTCTTCCTGTAGATATAGAAGTCCTCCTGATTCTGCTATTTAGGTATGACATTGTGCTGATTTTAAAACATTGTAGAGTATCTAAATGACATCTATAATTATTCAAGAGTTCAACCTAATTAAGAAATTCATGCAGATAAAAAGTGCTTTATTGTCCAGTCTGTGATATGCAGTTCAATGAACAGACCACAGACCTGGTCCATCATATATCTTGGACAGACACTGGAAGAAGACAGTGACCATGTACAATGACCTGGACCCAGGATTGAATAAGAGAAAAGTGAGCTACATTTCCTTTTTGAAAGCATAATAAGGGGGACAGCTAGGTGACGCAGTGGATAGAGCACCAGCTCTGGAGTCAGGAGGACCTGAATTCAAATCCAATCTCAGACCAGACACTTGACACTTACTAGCTGGGTGACCCTGGGCAAGTCACTTAACAATTGCCTCACCAAAACAAGAAAAAAGAACATATATTAAACTCTTTTTTCAAAACAAAGCCTTAACTTTTTAACAATAGTACTCTTCAGATGATGATATTTGACTACCAGTCATGGAATATCATAGTCTCTGAAGCATTAAAGTTGAGGAGCCTACAAAAGGCAAAGGGAAAGTTCATAGGGGGCATGAGCAGGCTACAATATATTACAAAAAAAGAAATTTTACAGAAGTGGCCTGTTGGATGTTATCAGAGAAATTCATGACCTCAAAAAGATGGGCTGGTAATGTAGAGAGTATTAAGCAATAGATGACTCTTATTTTATTGTTATCCTTGTCTTACCAAGAGAGCATACTGAAGGCCCCCAACATGTTAAATGGACCCCTGTGGATTTATAGAAGAAAAGTCACACAAGATGAGTGATAGCACCCACATTGCTAAAGTCACTAAGTCATTGAAGTATCTAAGAAGAGAGTGTTTATGGTTACATGGCTACGATATATTAAAAATACTAAAGCCGAAATTGGGTTATACGTTAAATAATCACTTCCTCTCATTTCCGGGCCTTACAAATGGTAAAAATTACCTCTTTTACTTTTTCCCTTGAGTGTCTCGATGGTTGGGTTCATATAAAAAACTTCTGTTGGCCAATAAAATTTTTGTCTGCTTTTGCAAAACTACCTTTAAAGACCATGCTTGAAAAGTAATTAGAGCTATCTTTGTAAACCTTAAAAAAAATTACGATTTCAGGATTAGCTACCTGAAGTTCTCCTATATGCTTTCTGTGATAGAGGAAGAGGAAGACTGTTGGCTGAAAATGAATTCTCTTGATTGTGATAGCTAAGTTGTAACAAGCTATTACTTTGTCAATATTCCCCTTGAAATAGCTTCATATAGAACACTTTGTTGTTCACATGTCAGTACAGATCCAAATAAGTAGGGAGAATATCCCATTTGAAATTGCCTGCTTATGGCCTGAATTTGGTTATAAACAAGTAGCCTGATGAACCTTGTACAAAAAAAATCCTTGTAAATTATTTGGAAATATCTTTTCAGAGGGGAGACAAAATAGTTTATAAATATATGAATTTAGCTCATTGATACTCTCCAATATAATTTAACTGTAAATTATTACTGACCATTAAATATTAAAAGTTCTAAAATTATTGTGAAACTTTGGTGTGACGGCAAGTACCATTTGAGGGTAGTGAATGGATTTAACAGTAATTTAGAAGGTGAGGAGTAGACGGTTTTTTCTCATTGTGAGTGAAAGCTGACAAGCTCTGAATCCTGTCTTAGGGTTATAGCCACACTTTACTTAAGGCTAAACCAAGAAGAGCTCATTGCCTCAAGAGAGGTAATTCATTAATTAGTAAATTCATTAAGTTTCTGTTTATATTTTATTTTCAGTTCACGTCTTTGTCTTAAAGTTTTCCATCTAATAGTTATTAACCCATATTAGTGATTGATAATGTGTTAGAATTTCATATTCTTCCAGTGACCAGGAAAGTAAATTTTTTTTTCTAAATTGTACTTAAGGTTGATGAAATGGGGCCTTATGGTACTATTTGATTACTCTTACTAATACAATTTATAAATAGAATTCTATTTCACAAGCTTATACGTGATTTTTGCCTGTTGGACCTTTAGTTATACCACTGATACATTTTACAATGTCATAATACTTTGGCAAAATACTAGGCACTTAAACTTTTCCCTTTATCATTTTAGGGAATTTATAAACATTTTTGGTTATAAAATACTGAAATTTTAAAGAATTTTTAGCTAATTTAAATTTTAATTTAATTTGACTAATTTTACTATTGCCATTTTTAGAGTAGGATATTTTGAGGTCCATAGAATTTGGGAAGTTTTAATCCCAAAGAAGCAAAGAAATTGTTTCTTGGTCATAACAGTATATAATAATAGCAAGGACTAAGAGTTCATTGTTATGAACAAAGAACTGTGCAAAAAATCTAGAGTTCAGGGACCCTAAGTCCCAGATCTATGCTTAGACCTTTTTTATCTCTAGAACTATCAGTAGTCTTCTCATCATTCAGTCATTTAACCTGCAAGGATTCAAGTGCCTACTATTTGCCAAGTATTCTGCCAAGCACTGAGAATATAGAGACAAAAAACAAACAGTCCCTGCTCTCCAAGAACTTGTACTTTATTGGGGAAGACAATATTTACACACATAACTGTAGGAAATAATACAAGTAGTGGGCAGGGAAGCATGAGCCCAGCTTTGAAGGAAACTGGGGTTTGGCTGTTTTTTTAACAAGGTGGAAGTAAGGAGGGAGTGCATTCCAGGGTTGGATGAAATTCTGTACAAATGATGGAATGTCATGTCTGGAGAAACAGCAAGGCCCATTTGGCTGGATTGTAGAGTGTGTGAAGGGGAATAATGTATAATAAGCATGGAAAGGGAGGTTTGAGCCAGTTTGCAAAGGGCTCTAATTTCATATGGATATAGCCTGAGGCTTTTTTCCCAAGCCTGAGCCAAGTTAAATCAGGTTCCATTTACCCAAGATTTAACTACTTCTTTTCTAAACATTTCAGGTTGTTGCTCAGATGATGTGGTTGATGGATCACATATTTAAGTATACAAACTTTGGTATTGTTTCTCTAATTCATGGAGATTTCTTTATAAGGCAGGTAAGTAATGGAGTTTTTGTTTTTGTCTTGTTTTGCCACTGGATTCAACAGTGAATTGAGATGTAATTATACTAGTGCTAAATGTAGCAGTTACAGTAAGTGCCCAGCTAGCTTACAGGTCTCAGGAAGCTTCATTCCAGATTCCCTGTGTTCCCAAGACATTTTTAACCCTGGGTTATAAGAAATAACCAATTTCTGCCTCCCCCTGCCATTCAAAGATGACAAGATCAGGCAACCACTACCGCTTTCACCTCCTAAGCTCAGGTATAAGATTCCCTAGGGTGTGCTACTGGTAAAATGTTTCATATTCTTATAAGTGGTTGACTTGAAAGGGTGAATGGAATTTATCATGTATAATATCTTATCCAGCAGCCTCTGTCTTCTGTAGAAACTGCAAATGAATAAATGGGAGTCTTCAAACCCAACAAAAATAGCTGTACCAAAGTTCACTCTGAGAGCAGTAAACATACTCCCTTCATTCTCAGGCTTAAAGCGTATCAGTCAAGAAGCATTTGTTAAGTGTCTAACATGTGCCCCAGGTGCTTTGCTAGGTGCTGGGCATAGAAAGATAAAAAGTGGTAGTCTCAAGGAACTTACATTCTGTTATATTTGACTTTATCTTACATGTGATATTCAGCCTTCAGACTTTTCTTTATTACTCTTGATTCTGGCTTGCAGTTATAACCAGAGAGCAGGAAAGGAAATGACAAAATTTTGGAAGTACTTTGTAAAGCTTGAGTCCAAAGTGTACATGAATAGTTGGCGGTTATTAGGAGTAGGGTGGAGACCACCAGACCCTCTAAGTAGAAAATCTAGGCAACTGTGAAAACAAGTTGCAAACACACTGGCCGCTGGACTCATTTACTGAGAAGGCAGCAATTTCGATAGTGTATTCTAAGAAAATCTCACTGTTGTGAAATCCAGCTGAAGTAAAGTTTGATTGAGGTACTGTCAGTGACTGTTATTCATTATATTCTTTCGCCTAATATCACTCAGGATTAGCTTGTAGTGGAAAATATCCCTATATACTTCAATAGTCCCCAAAGCAGTTATTGAAGGGGAACATATATAAGTGTCGGTTTTTGACTGAACCACCAACTAGAATAGCACAGTACCACTATCTGGAAGATTCAGTGATATATGTCTCAATAAGTCTTGAGTATATTCTTGCGTTATCACACAGTACAGTGATTGCTTATCATAATCATAACCATGAATCTTCAAGAAGGGTTAAATTTTGTTAAATATATTCTAACTAAAACATAGGGGCATTTTAGGGATGTTTCTACCACAAGTGGGTAAAAATGTAAGGCATTTCATTTCTTAAAGTGCTAGATTTCAATTATCTGGACAGTTTACCTTTTCAAAATCCCACATTCATCTAACAGTGCTAGATAAAATGAGACATTATTATAATTGTTGGTATTTGCTATGTTGAAATATACATGAAGTTTTCTAACTAAGGTATTGATGTTAAAAGAAAATAACTTTGTAGGATCTCTTAGCTACTCCTTGTTACCATTATTTACAACAGATTGCAAAATGGATTTTTAAAAATTAATACTTTGCAATTAACAATAAAAGCTAAGTAATTAGTGTTATAGTTTAAAGTGTTCCACTTCTCTAAAATAATTATAATAATAACCTGCATTTATTTGATGCTTTAAGGTTTGCAAAGTGCTACACATATGTTAACTCATTTGATGCTTATAACAATTTGAGTAGATGCTATTTTTATCTGCACTTTACAAAACTGAGGCATGGAGATGATTTGCCCAAGATCACTTAGTACTAGGAAGTGTCTGAGCCAGGATTTGAACTCAGGTCTTCCTGACTCCGTGTCCTTCACTCTCTCCACTTCACCACTTAACTGCTTATAAAATATAGTCTTTGCATGTGTTGACATATGTTTTATAATTTGAGGGAATATGTTCCAGATAGTACTCCTATGGTTAGAAAGAATAGTTTAATGTATATACTGTGCAAAAAAAAAATCTGGATTCTAATAGACCACTACCCTGGGAAGAGATGGGGATACAAGGCATGTGTAGCATAGTGAGAACAGTCAAGTGCTGAGAGAGCAGCGATGGATATCTCGTCTCTGTTAATCCTAAAGTATGTAACTCTCACATAGCCAATGAGAGGGGACCTGGGGAGGTATGAAAAGATTGGAACGAAAATTGATCTTCAGTCCATAAGGAAACTTCATCATGTGCTCTACAATTTCAGAGAGCCATGGAGATTCTTATGGTCTGAAGTCTCAATATAAATCTAGGATAGTAGATGAAAGAAAAAGTATAACCATCAAAGGCTGAGCCAGCTACTACAGTTTAGGGTAATATTTTTTGATCCATAAGGAAGGGAGTAGATGGGGTTGAGGACAAGAAAAAGCACTTCCAGAGGCCAGAGCACTAAGATCTCCAAAAGGAGGTTGAGCCCATTGGTGGATGATAACTTGGAAGGCCAGAAAGCATCTTTCTTGTTTAGGAGCCAAGAGGTGGGAAAGGAAGAGAATTTCTTTAGGTTTTAGGCCAAGGTGTCTACACTGAAGTAACTATACATCTGAAGCCTATGAGATTCAAAAGGGGATGTAGGAGATCACCATAGAGAATGAGTGTTCTATTCAAAGACCCAAAATTCCCACACTCAGGGGTTGAGCTAAGCAGTTTGGGAAGATTTGAATATCAGTATCCTTACTAAAACCAAATCTACCTATTTGTAAACATTGGATTTAGAAAAGCAGATCAAGGGGAATGAGGGAATACAATTGAGATTGCACAAGTTCCTAAGGAAAAACACCATCATCTACTAGTGTCCTACACTGTGTACACCTTCTGCTTTGTTTATCTTTGTTTTTAAAGCTGTTTAATCTTTGTTAAAGAAAAAAAAGTTATACTTGAACCCCGGTCTCCTAGTTAGCAATCAGAAGTAGGAATAATAAAAGTTCTTTTTTGGCCTTGTAAAAGTTCAAGGAGAAATTAAGGGCCACCCCAAAGAGAGTAGAGGTTAGGGTTTAAGGAGTGACTTAATTAAGCAGGCAGAAGCAGAAATCTCAAGAGATGGTGGTTCTTTGTTGCCCTTGGGTTTCAGTCCCTTTTCAGAATAATTAAGGCTTTGGTTGATATATAATAATATTTAGTATAAAAATAATGTCTATAATATGTAATAATGAAAGCTAAAATTTACATATAGCACTTAAAGGTTTGCAAAGTGTTTTACAAATATTATCTCATTTGATCTTTACAGCATCCCTGGGAGATAGGTGCTATTATTTTCCCCTTTTTCCAGATAAGGAAACTGAGGCTGAGAGAAGTTAAGGGACTTAGTCAGGGTTAAATAGCTAGTAAATGTCTGAGGTAGGATTCAAACTCAGGTCTTCCTGAATCCAAGTTCAGTGTTCTGTCCACTGCAATACCCAGCTACTTGTTGACTTAACTTTGGTTGAATAGAAACTAAAAATTATATGGAAAACATCTGTAAATTTTTTGTAATAAACTGCCAGGAAAAGTTGATTATCTCTCTTGAATTAGAGATAAATTTCTTTTTATGAGAACTGAAAATAAAGTTATTCTTGAGAACTCCTAGAAAAAGTTAAATTGGAAATTTTAAAAGAATTAGTTAAATTTATATGGGAAATCTGTCTGAAACAAAAATATTGAAATAGGAGTTTTGCAATTTTCTGCAATTTAACTTTTTGCACCTCTTTTCATCTGGAGGTGGGAGGGAGGATAGGGCTGGTGATTTCTTTTTAACTTTGAAATAACCCCGTATGAAGTAAGTTGAACTTAATTCGTGTGTGTGTGTGTGTGTGTGTGTGTGTGTGTGTGTGTGTGTGTGTCTGTGTGTGTCTGTGTGTGTCTGTGCCCTCCAGGGAAAATCTCATCGTGACCAGCAGTTGGTTCTTCTTAAGAAGCACCTGAAAAAGTATTACAGGAGCCGGGATCGGAAGTGGATTGTTCTGTTTCCAGAAGGTGGCTTCCTCAGGAAGAGACGAGAAACAAGTCAGGCATTTGCCAAAAAAAATAATTTGCCATTCCTTGTACATGTCACCCTGCCACGGCTTGGGGCAACACAAATTATTCTGAGTGAACTTGTAGCACGACAAGAAAATGGAACCCCAGCAGGTGGAGATGCTAGGGTGTTAGGTATGACATTTTTTTTCTTTGTGGGAGAGCTATTGTTATTGTTGTTGTTCAGTCATTCAGTCGTGTCCTACTTTTCATGACCCTCTTTGGGGTTTTCTTGATGGAGATACTGGAGTGGTTTGCCATTTCCTTCTCCATATCATGTGACAGATGAGGAAAACTGAGGCTAACAGGGTTAAGTGACTTGCTCAGACACAGCTAGTGTCTGAGGCCAGATTTGAACTCAGGAAGACTCCAGGCCTAGCACTCTATCCACTGCTGCTCAAGAGAGCTATAAGATTTTTCTTATTGGAAATTCCACAGGGTGGCAATATTCATTTTAAAATTTTACTTCTTTTTTTTTTTTTAATCAAAGGGAACTAGTATTTTGGGAAGAATGATATAGGTTTATTCTCTGCTCACAAGTATATTGTTATATTTTTATGGTTCTATTTATCTGATGTAGTTATTGAGAAATGTGTTCACAGCGTTATTCTAGCTGCTTGCATAAGTATAGTTTAATAGTATAAAACTTGGAAGAGGGTTTTCATATCATTCAGTTTTTATTTATGTAGAGTTATGAACTGTTAGCTAATTGTGCCCTGATAGCTTAGCATATATACTCTTACGATTTGTCACCCAATATTCCTCACCTGAAAGAGAAGTTGTTATTCAGTAGTTTTAATACATGTCTTTTAATTAAGCTATTTCATGATCCAGAATTGTTTCCCTGTCTTAAGTTGTGAATTCCTCACAGTAAGTGGAGAAATGTTAACTTTGAAGCGCACCTAAGCATCATGTGACATTGGCCAGGCTCCTCTTTTGTATATCCATTGAGTCAGTGCTCTACCAGATATCTCATTTAATTTTGTGATTTTACATGTTTTAATGCTACTCTCTTAGAACACTTATGGCAGTCTAATTTGTTAATAAGCTAGCAATAGGTGAATAGAGGAATTTGGCTTTTAAAAGTTAATAAACACTATACTAAATAGATTTGTATAATCACCAAATTTTGATCCATGGAGTGTCTTTATTCCTTATGTTTCTCTTGTAACTTTCATTTTCATTTTCAGCTATTAGCCTTTCCAGATGAATATTCTAGCCCCAGATTATTTTATAATATCAGTATACTTCTGTAATTCCTCATATACTATCACAAGACATAATAAGTCCTACTCTCTAGGCTCATTGTGATATGGTCATTACCTGGTATTCACAAAGTTTATGCTAGCTGAGTACAGTCTTTTGTAGGTCCTAGCAATCCAGAAAGGTTTCAAGGACAGGTTTGGTGATGTTTGTTATCCAAGGACTCTCTTAGCAAAGTTCAGAGAGGGTTATCACTGAGTTGATTTTACGGTGACAGACTTTTTAGCCACAACAACTCAATCATCTACTAAGCTGTAGAGAATTGCAGTCAATATTGGTAGAGGAAGTAACCATACTGACAAAATCAATAATTACTGAAGTAGTAAATATAAGTTAATGTTTTATCTGAATATTTGTCTTCTTTTTCCTTTTAAAAAATAGAAAAAGGCTTATATTCAGGGATCATATTGTTTTAAGTTCCTATTTTGGTTAAAAATAGTAGAACAAATCAAGGATTTGACATTAACCTAGCCTGTTATAGGAAAGGGAATGTGACCTATAATTGAACCTGAAAGAATGAGATACTATCTTTAAAAAAAAACAAAAATTGGTCTATTTTAAGCAAAAGTTTGACTGCCTTAGAACTCCACAACTTCAGTCAATTTAGATATTTGTTGTAGGGAATGAGCCCTACTTTTTTTAATTGATGCCTTTTGTTTTCATGTGACATTAATTTTTTTTTAAACCTCTCTCCTCTACCCCTATTCAGTAAGTTTTCCCTTTTAGAAAAGATGAAAAAAGGTTTGTCAAAATCAAGCAATCAACTTGCTGTTACTGCCTATCCGATATTTCAAACTCATAATCTCCAACCTCCAGTTAAGAATACATTTTGTCATCTCTCTTCTGGGGCCAGATTTTAAATAAGTATTTAAAAATGAATGAAATAGGATAAGATTTTCAGATTATTACATGTGGGTGGGTAATAAAGCTAGGTTCTTTTTATTTTCTCTCTTTTTTTCTGTTGCAGCCACCATGACTAAGTCAATATTTGCCTCTGAGCAGCTTTATCTGCACCCTATTTATTTGACAATTCATCTCTGGATATGAATTTTGCCCACTTTCATGTGATTCACTCAGGGGACTGGCTTTTCAGCAATCTAAGAGATCTGTAAGATTATGGATCATTGGAACATCTCTCTAAGAACTAAGTGGCCAGGGGTGACTTAAAGGCATCATTCTTGGCTGAAATTTCTCAAGGCAAGAAAACCGTGACTAGTGACATTTCAGATTAGTTTTGAATAAGGATTATAGCAAACTTTTTTCTTTTATTTTTCTCCACAAATATTTTTTCTTTAGTATACTAATTTTTAATGTTTTTATAGCCACTTTCTCTGCAACTACTACACATAGGCCCAAGAATACACATTTATATCTTAAATTGTGGTAATTAAAAATGTTACTGTTAATGAGGACAATCTCAATCATCCAGAAACCATGATATAATATCGTAACTTTAGAGCTGGAAGAGACCTTGTAAGTCATGCTGTACAACCCCTTCATTTTATAGCCAAAGAAATGGAGGCCAACAAAGGCTTAAGTGACTTTTTCAGAGTCACACAGGTAATAAAATGATAGTCAGAATTTCAACCCAGGTCCTCTGATTCTAAATCCAATGCCCTTTCCATCTGGTACCATGCCATCTGAATGTATCATGTTTGAAGTTGAGCCTTATTCTTTTAAAATAGGAACTTCCAAGCCAATTAAGACTTTCATAGTTTATTGCTTATTATAGATTTTATTCAATATTAGTTACCCTTGATCTAGTTATTCTTGATACTAAATACAGATATTGATTGATACTAACTACACAACTTCAAATCAGAAGATTTGTTATTACAAATACTTTCTCTGTCAGTGATGATGGAGCTACTATATTTGAACTTTTAACATCACAGTCTGCTATGCTACATGAAGAAGTAGAAGGGATGCTAAAGGTGGGGAAAGCACAAAGATTAGACCACAAACATGGTCTGTGTTGAAGATGACACAAGTTTGAGAGCATCACTGAATTGATTCTCAAGACATTTGTAAGAGAGGTGGATATCAAACACTTGGGGGGGGGGATCGCATTTTTGTTATTAAACAAAAGACACTTGAAAAAATATAAATAATCACTAATGCAAATTATTTCTTTCCCATTTCCACAAAATCGTTGAAAATTAAAATATATGTATATGTATGTATGTGTATATGTGTGTATGCATGCATATATATGTATATATACATGTGTATGCATGCATATATGTGTATATATACACATATATGCATTGAGAGTATCCTTGATTAAAGGATAAGAAGGAATAAGGCAAAATTTCACAAATTATATCCTACAGCTTACCACATCTTTAAACTCAATCAATTCACTAAAGGACGTTTAAAAAGAAAGTCCCCATTGTGGGAACTGTTTTGTTTTGTTGGTAATGGTTATAAAAAATTGTATTTTGCTTAGTGGAATAAAATGTCATCTTAAAGTCTCTGCTCCAAAATGTTCTCATCCATATATGCACAATAATGCAAGAATCCTTAGAACATGTAATAACAGAAATAAATTTTGCTCTAATTATTAATACCAAGTAAGACATAAAACAAAGAGATCAGTGCTTCACAAAGAAATTTGCTGCTGTGGAGCAACAATGGAGGTTGTCCACTTCAGAGGCCAAATGGAGGAGGGTCTTGCTGTAATTAGAAAAGTTCTTCAGATTCTCCTGTTTGGATATGTCTATGTTCATTGCATCAGTCATTAGAATATTTCAAAGCCTCCTAAATGGGGTCAAGAGTTCAGCCCCTATCTCTCCGTTTAAAAAAAAAAAGTAGATGAAGAATACCTTGTATGAGTATGATATAAAGTTAGAAGAATAACCCACAGAGCTGGTCTATCAGGACATATATTTTGGAAAGACACTGCAAATGGACAACAAGCTGATCTCAGAACCAGATAGGAGGAGAGTGAGCTTCATTGTCTTTTTTAAATGACATTTCTTCTAATAATCCAAGAATCTCTCTGAAACAAAAGCCCATCAAACTGTTTAACATCAGTCAGTATTTTTTAAGTGATTAATTACCAGTCATAGAATACCGTGGTCTCTAAAGATTTAAATTCAAGAATTACATGAAGGTCTTTGGATAGATGTGTGATGATATTACAGTTACACATTATAAATGAAGAATTGTGCAGGAGAAGCAGTATAAAGATGTCATTAGAAAAAGGGATAACCACAAAAAAATGGGCTGACTATAGAAAGAGAAATAACAAGATACAGCCCATGTGCTTCTTTGACACCCACACAATTTCATGTGGTCTAGAAGAATGCCTCTAGCTTATTTAATGTACATTATATCATGTATCAGTAGGTATACATAGATAAGAGTTCCACGGGTTAGTAATAACATGAATAGGCTGCAAAATGCCCTGTTGGAGGGACTACACACTCAGATAAGATCATAAATGTGTCAGAGTTGGTGACCTTGTGTAAGTCATTTGACCTTGTTGGATCTCAGTTTTCCTCTTTTGTTAAATGAAGGATTTGGACTACATGATCTCTTAGGTCCGTTTCAGGTCTGAAACCTAGAGATAGTTCATCTCTTAAAGTTTCTACTAGCTGAGATTCTGTAATCTTGCTGCATAAAGTAAGCACTTATTGTTTGAAAGAATGAATGAATTTACCATTCGCTCTCCTCTTCGTTCTCACAGAACCTACTCCAGTCCAAGCATGCTTCACTCTTCCTTGATCTGTTATTGTAACAGATCCTGATAGGTCTTCCTGTTTCCAATCTTTCCTGTCTTTCCATACCATCTTCCACATTTATGCCAGAATGATAGTACTACAACACAAATCAAACAGTATCATTCCCTTATTCAGACATCTTTAGTGACTCATAGTTGTCTCAGATAACTTTGATGCAACAAACATTTATTGAGAACCTATTATGTTGTATTGTAAAGCATTTATATTACATATAATTATAGATTATATATATATATATGTATATATAATAAAGCAATGGCATAGTTCTTGGGGATTGAAAAACAAAACTCTTTGCCCTTAAGGGACCTAACTTCTGCTAGGGGAAACAAAAAATACACGGATAAGTATAAAATATTTATAAAGTAAATACAATGTAACTTTGGTGGGGTAGAGTGAAAGAACTATCTGGAGGCATCAGGAAAGACCTCTTGTAGATGCTGAGTCTTGGAGAGTTCCAGAGGCTTCAAGGGGCCCAGGTAAGGAGGACAAGCATTTTAAGCAAAAGGTGATAGGGAGGAGGAGATCGTCTATATAAAGGCATATATAAAGGAAATGCAGTCTTAATTATGGGAAACAGCAAGTAGACCAATTTGACTGAGTGTAGAGTGGGTGAAGGGAATGGAGATAATAGATTTAGGAGTCACTTGCCACTATGATAATTGAAGACATGGGAATAAATGAAGGGAGGGAGCAAAGAAGTTAAGAGAATGAAAGCATATGCTCAAATGCCTATGCTTAGGAGGTAGAAGGAGAATGATAATTCAGTGAAGGGGCACCAAGAAAAGTTTGTCAGAAAGATGGAAGGTGGAGATGCATGCAATTTATTGTTATGGAAGACAAGATGAAAATCTCAAGAAGGTAAGAGCTTGTCAGTAGTATCAAATACTATAGAAGAGATCAAGAGGGATGATAATTGGGAAAAAAAAGTCACTGTGTGGCATGGGTCAAAGGTTAGATGTGAAGAACATAATCTCAAGTCCTTTTCAGCTCCAAAATTATATAACAAAGTTAAATACTTTTTTTGTGGGATTGGAATTGCAAGTAAAATTGCCACTCAGATATGGAATGGCCAGGAAGAGCTCTCACATCATCATGTATTCATTTCAAGAAGGGGTTTTGGATTGGTGTGAACTTGAAGGAGTTGATAGTAGGGATTCAACTTGAAATTAGAGTGGTACAACCTAGATTTTGAGCCTCAGAATAATCAAGTTAGGGAAGGAAAGAAAAGTTTGTTGTTGTTCATTGGTTTTTCAACCACGTCTAACTCTTCGTGACCCTATTTGGGGTTTTATTGGCAAAGATACTGGAGTGGTTTGCCATTTCCTTTTCCAGTTCATTTTACAGGTGAAGAACTGAGGCGAACAGGTTTAAGTGCCTTGCCCAGGGTTGCACAGCTAGTAAGTATCTGAGGCCAGATTTGAACTTAGAAGGATGAGTCTTCCTGACTCCAGGCCCAGCACTCTATCTACTGTGCCACGTAGCTGCCCTGGAAAGAAAAATAGACTGGAATAAAAACTTGGAAACTTGGTTCATGGAGCAAAAATAGTGACCATAGGCTTAAAGGAAGGAGCAAAATAATCAGCAAATAAGATAGATCTGTCAAGTAGGGATGAGTGGGAGCAGAACTGGTGCTGAAGGTGAGTTTAGTGAAGAGATGACCAGGGCCTGCAGAAATTATCATTGGATGAAGATAAGAAGGGATAGAACACTTAAGTAATGTAGGAAGAACTATCAGTTTTGCCAATGGAAGTGCACAAGACACCTTTGAAAAAAATAGACAGTATACCTGGCTTTAGCTCCAAGTGTTTGACTTCCATGTGTCATAAATTAAATAAATTTGAAGTGCATGGTTACCAAAAAGGGTGAGCTAGCCACAAGAGATGATAGCTAACATTTTCTCTTTCTATTGTTTCTGACGAGGTACTTGACTGCTAGACTTCTCCAGTAATTCCTATTTTATAAAAGAAAAAAACGAAAAGGGTCTTTTATGAGAAAATGAATGCTCTGAATAGCTTGACAGAGAGAAGTTACAGCAATGTTAGCTAAGGCAAAGCTTGGAAATTTTACAAGTCTTGAACTAAGGAATGTGACTGATCCTTTAATAGATCCATTCAGCCATATCCTGTGGGATTCTAAATCCTAAAGGTAAATCCATAATGTGGGAGAAATTCTGCCTTTTAATTTGAAGAAAAGGGTACCTGCTGTATCTGATAAAATGGCTTTTGATTAAAAATTCTCATGATGCCTGGTTATTTCTCCCAAAATAAAATCATTTTTATCTAATTTATCTCCTTTAAAGTGTTGTAATATTTTAGAAAGGCAATTAAAGATCCTAAAAAGTTATATTATAGACAAGTCTTACCTCATAGCTTTAGAGAAGCCCATTACTTTTTCTTTCCTTCCTTCCTTCCTTCCTTCCTTCTTCCCTTTCTACCTCCCTCCCTTCCTTCCTTCTGTGTGTGTTATCTTCAGCCCTTTTTTTGAGAGGGGGAAAAAAGGTGGTGGGTTATGCAGAATTTAAATGTTCTGTAAGAACAAAGACCATGGTGTCTTGTATTTAATGGCATACAAGTACCTGTGGCACACAGTGATCCCTCAATTTTAAATACTGTCTGATTAATATGAACACATGGGTTTTCAAGTTTATTGTTTGTTTAACAAGCTTAAAAGCCCAAGGGCATCCTAGATGAGGGCATAAGGGCACTAATACTTTGAAATGGAAGACATCTTTGTTCCCAATTGACTGAAAAATACAAAATTCTATTTTATTTGTTGGTTATGAAAAAGCATTTGATTCAGTAGAGTACTACCTTAAAAGCTCTCTTCAAGAAGAGGTTTCCATCATCCATATATCAAATTCATAGAAAATTTCTTGAGAGACATAACAAACAACCATGTTCAGTGGCATTCTGATTATAAAACATCAGGCCAGGCATAAAATGGGTAAATGGGATCATGTAACTTTAAGGTATTGTAAGTTTCCAAAACAGACATCTACATTCAAACATAATAATAAAATAGCTTATAAGTTAAATGCAAATTGTTTTTTGTTTATCCACACTGTTATTTGTACCATTTGGGTCAAATAATTACACATTGACTCATAATGCTTAAAGATTTCAGTTCTTTAAAAAAAAACAAAAACATTTTTTAAAGAAACAGATAAACCAAAGAAATATTTAATTTTATCCTTAATGTATCTTACTTAGTGGCAGCACCAAAGTCTAATATTTTCTTACAGAGTTTTATTGTTATTCTATATACTGTCAAAAATTTTAACCCGTGATATTTTGTTAACTAATGTAAAAATTGGTTCATTTTTAATTCTCTTTCTTTCTCTTTGTTCTTAGAGAATAAACCAAAAGGCCTCCAGTGGGTCATAGATACAACCATAGCTTATCCTAAAGATGAACCTATAGACATCCAAACCTGGATTCTTGGATACAGGCGACCAACAGTCACTCATGTTCATTACAGGTAGGACAAATCCTGAGTCCAGTCTAATTTTAATACACTTTTTACTATTGGTGTAACATCGTGCAGTTATTCTTTTAAATGATCAAACAGTATGAATAGCTTTCTGGATTCTTCATTTCCAAACTTCATCTAGCCATAGTGGAAAGAGCAGTGGTTTTGGAAGGCATATGACTTGAATTCCAGATCTATTAATAATTCTGTAACCTGTGTCAAGTCCATGCATCTTCAATAGTTTACTCTGCTGGTTTCTCCCCTGTGTCCTAAAAGTATGTGCGCATCCCCCATAGCCTGTAAAAATTTTTTTGTTGAATCTGCTGTACCTGGAAACTTCTGTCCTATCTTTCTTCCCTTCGTGATCAGACTTCTAGGAAAAGAACTCACTATTTCTTCTTTCCTTATAGTTTCAGTGCTCTTATTTATTGATTCCTTGTAATATGGCATCTCCTCCCACTATTCTCTTGAAACTGCTCTAGAGCTACAAATTATCTCTCTTATTTTATCCTTCTTGGCTTTTGTGTTGCCTCTCTTTTTTGTTAATCCCTAGACTCTTGGCATCCATGATAACTGCACTCTTAATGATCTTTTCTTATTTTTTGGTGACCCATGTTTTCTTACTGGTTCTTTGTTATCATTCTGCCCCTAAACTAGAGCATCTCCCATTGTTGTATCCTTGGCTCTTTTCTCTCTTTATATTTTCTCACTTGGTGATATCATCCATTTCCATGGCTTTTGTAATCTTCTCTATGAAAATCACTCCATAATCTCTTCCTCTAGTCCTTCTCCCCAGGTCTGTATCTGTATATCTGTGTGTGTGTGTATGTATGTATATGTATACACACACACACACACACACACACATACACACACATATATATGTGGTTTCTGGCAAGGTTTTAGTTTTTTTCCTATGTGTGATACTCTTAATTCTTAAGTTAGGAATATGTCAGGATCATATTGTATATGTAAAGCACTTTATAAAATGTCAACTATGTTATTACTATCAAATGCACATAAACTCTGCAAGAGGATCACATCATGGCATGAAAGATATCAGTGTCACAATTAGAGGGAGGGAAAATAGGAAATGTAATAAGAGGTATAGCTTAGAGGCATAAATGGTGTATGAATGGTATATAATCATGGTAGTTGATTGTAAGATTAGAGATTATTAAAAATTTTAATAGCAATCAGGGCAAGTTAAAATCTTACTGAGTTTAGCTGTCTGCTACCTTTGGGACCTTCAGCAAATCACTTAGCTTTTTTGGGAATCAACTTCCTTTTCCATAAAATGAGGAGACTGGAGATGATCTCCCTTACACTCTCTGTAATAGATACTCTAGCAAAACAGGACTACTCATAGTCCCCCGTATAGATCTGTATTTTGTTTCTTCCCTTTCTTTGCTACCTGTGCCTGGCATACTCCCTTCTTGCTCAACCCATTGAACTCTTTACCTAGTCTTTAAAGCTCAGCTGAAATGTTACTTTCTCCAGGAAATCTTCACCAATTTCTGTTAATGATGACTTTCCACCTTGGACTTCACATAGAACTTTTTGGCTGCTCTCTAACTCATTCATTCAATAAGCATTTACATTTACTATATACCAGGCACTGATAGAAATAGTTCCTGAGCATAAGAAACTTATATCCTATTGAGCAGAAACATCATGAGATACACCTTGTAAAGTAAACCTTAGTGTTTTCAAAATTGTGTTGCCACCAGCATTGATTTCTTCAGTTCTGGTCAAGCTTATCTTTCCAACTTAACTGTCTCAAGTGTTATTTCAGATTCCTTATATAATTCATCTGGGACTGAAGCATTAGGGTCCAAACATTGTGATTCCATTATCAATTGATAATGAAAATGAATTATTATAAATGTATTCTTATTTGTTACATATTCTATTTTTTGTTTTTTCCTCCTGCTAGTTTCATCTACAAAAATCTTCGAGATAATATAGTTCAATTGAGGTTCATGCCAAGACTTCCATACTTATTTTTACTAACTTCACTGTTTTTCACAGTTTTACAAGGCAGTAATGCTTATAGTCTTTCATCATCCTTCTCTGTAGCACTTTACAGAGGAGCTTGTATTCTAAATCAGTGTTGCCCTTGACTGCCATATCTTTCCTCTCAGCAAGATGATAAAAGTGTGCTGACTAAGGCAGTTTTTGGGTTCCTTTGGTCTTTTTGTTGTGGGAACTGCTTTCTGTTGGTTAAATTTTTGTAGGAAATAGTAATAATAAAAGTCATTGTCTTTACTTTTTTCTACATCCAGTTTTTCAACATTGACAACTTGTTTGAATAGATCAGGTTGAAATTATTACAGTTTGGTTTCTTCTCTCCCTTCTGTCTTCTAATTCAATGTTAGTTTTTACTTTAGCTCTAACTAGTTAATGATTTGATTATACAAAGACAACTTTTTCTCATAGGAGTCCCACTTAGTAACCATCTGTTTGTTGTTCATTAAGATATAGTTAATTTAATTGTTTTTATGGTATTTGATATTTGTCAAAGCCAACATCTCCTGGCTGTTTTCTCAAAGGTGTTTATGTTGTATACACATGAGGCTTCTAAGTAGCCATAAGCTTTTAGCCTCTTCTGCTTCTTAAGCCTGAGCCTTGTTTTCCAAAATACTCTGAAAATACTCCCCTGTTCTGCTCACTTTTGACTTACAAGTCTATGATTATTAAAGTAGATATTGATTTGATTTGAAAGACTTGTCAAATTCTTTGTAGAGTTTCTCAACTTTATCGTCTGCAATGGATACTAGCACTTAAGATACAGTGGTCTTTATGATGGTCTCTTTGTGTTCATCTTTCTCTGGCAGGACAAGATGACCAAGTGTCCCATGAAATGATCCTTCTTGTTGCCCTTTGAAACATGATAAAACCAACTCTGTCAACTCAACCCTTCCAAAGAGAACTTAGGAACCATCTTTCCATTCAGCTGTGATATTCTTTAGCAGCAGTTTTATCTTATGGTTGTTATCAAGAGAATATCAAGATTGAATTTCAGTAAAAAGTCAACTCATTGTTGATAAAAGAAAGACCTGACATTTGTAGCAGCTGTTCACATTCAGAATTAATTTAAAAGTAGTATGATTCTTAGCACTTTCTTCTCCCCTTCTACCTCTTCACCACTGTCACGGTGGAAGTGGAAGGAGGCCACACAAGAATGCATCATTATTTTTTGCTGTTTTGTGATTACTGTAGACAAATATTCATCACATTGTACAGAAATGTCAAACACGTGGCCCATAACATGTTCACACGACCTGAAGCAAATTAAAATGAAATTGGGAAATATTTCACAAAACAAATAAAAATACAATAAAATATAGATAGTATTTTAAAAACTAAGCCAATATGTGGCACACAGGGATCCTTTTTTTTCTTTTGCATGTACAGTTATATTAAATGTATTTTTACATTAGTCATTTTGAGAGAAGAATCAGAGCAAAAGGGAAAAACTACAAGAAAGAAAAAACAAAAGAACAAGTGAAAATAGTATGTTTCGATCTGCATTCAGACTCCATAGTTCTTTCTCTGAATGTGGATAGCATGTTCCATCATGACTCTTTTGGAATTATCTTGGATCATTATATTACAAAGAAGTGCTAAGTTTATCTTAGTTGATCACCACACAATATTGCTGTTACTTTGTACAATGTTCCCTGGTTTGCTCACTTCACCCCGCATCAGTTTCTCTAAGTCTTTCCAGGTTTTTCTGAAATCTGCCTGCTCATGATTTCTTATAGCACAGTAGTATTCCATTACATTCATATGCCACAACTTGTTCAGCCATTCCCCAATTGATGGGCATCCCCTCAGTTTCCAATTCTTTGCCAGCAGAGATCCTTCTGTACAGATTAGTGGCCTGTTTCTCTTGAGTTTGACACCGTTGACGTAGTATACAGCTTACTGGTAATGAGACTCTCTCTTGAGTTTGTATGACAGTCTGTTTTTTGCTGGGACCATTCCTACAATTCTTCATTTTGGGGTTCCTTTTAGGAGGTAAGTGGTAGATTCTTTCTATTTTCACCTTACCCTCTGGTTTACTTAACATCTCTAGGCCAATTTATAACCTTTAAATTTGGAATAATAATGCCTACCTCCCATGGTGATTTTGAGGATCAAACAGTGTTATGTATGTGAATAAGTTGTATAAGTGTAAGTCATTATTCTCATTAGACTAGAAGTATGTGTAGATTATTCTGACAGCAATCTGTTATAAAGAGCATGATGAAGAAATAGTTGTGGAAACATATCTTTCAGTGTTGCCAGCTAGCAGATGAAGTATACAGAATCATTTTGAAATACATTCATTCAGAAGTCAGGCAGTTTTATAGCTACCAGTCTCAATAATGTCCTCTTTGTAAGATTTATAGAGCAAACATCTTAGGATAGATCTTTCATCCAGTAGAAATCAAAGTTTTTTCTCTGCACAGAAGCAATTTTATTCAGGATAAAGGTAACCTTGTTTTTAAGTCTTATTTTAAGCTGTCCCACAGGGATGCTATGAGATGAAGAAATCTTTGTTGATAACATTTCAATTTTGAGCTCTTCAGTAGTGGTTACATAAAGAATCCTTTCTCCCTATTGTGTAACACTTACTGTTTTGACCATGGATTGCAGTTATTTATATGCTCATGGACAAGGACTATCTTGTTTATCTTTGTATTTCCTAACGTATAGAACATTGCCTTGCTGGAAGTAGGCCCTCAATATTGTTGAATTAAATGTGGATGTGTAAGCCTTCAAGTAGTAGGTATGTTTGCAGTAAATTAACTTAATTTGTCCATGGTCTTTTGCCACTGGCAAAGAATTTATACCACACACACCTGAGATTACTTTAAATATGACAGTTTGATTTAAAACTTACAGTGCTTTTGTCACCTAGTTCTTATAAACTGTTAGTCACAGACACCTACTTTTTAAAAAGTTCTTGATCTGTTAATAACAATAGCATTTATATAGTTATTTATATAAAGTTTGCAAAA